CTGAGCCGCTAATTGACTCGTTCTCCTTGTCCTCTTTCTCCTTTTCCTTCTCCTTTGTGGTACACGGTGGACCTACAAAACATGATGTGGATATAATATATAATACATATGTATATATAAATATATAATATTTATATGTATATATATATAATACTGCAGCCGCAAGCCCTCCCGAGGCGATGATACGTGCTAACGTTCGCTTGTTTCGTTTTTTCGTTGACAGAGAAGAGCGATCCGTTTCGTTTCCAGGGAGAGGGCGTCTTCTTCAAGGCCAAGATCATCGGCATCGATGATGTGGCGCAGGCGAGAGGAGACCAGATGTGCCAGGAGTCGATGCAGAACCTTAAGGTGTGCTAGCGCGAAGTAGAGGAGAGTATATAAGAGTAGTGTGGTAAGGGTTCTCCCAAGAGCAGCTTATAGCCTGGCGGCCCGCCAGGCTTCGTCCGAGCGCCCCGCGTCATCCACTAAAAATGCACGCCGCGCACTTGGTCTAGATATCATGAGCCGCCCCATGCTAAAGTATCAATAGGCCGCCCAGACGCCCCTAGTCACGCAAAGCGCCTTCGCAATTTGCAACTAGAACCGTAAAGGCAGCACCCCCATGCTATATCATGAAAAAGCTTGGAGAACCCTGGAGTGAGTGAGTATAGATAGATAGATAGATAGATAGATAGATAGATAGATTAAGATAGATAGATAGATAGATGATAGAGAGAGAAGCGAGAAGAGAGATAGTGAGAGATAGAGAGGCTCCTTCAAGTGGGCAATGATTTGGGGAGACAAGAGCAGACAGACAGACAGACCGCGGATGCGAGAGCGAGATTGTACAGGTGCTGTTGCGTGCAAACAGGCTGAGTGACGACTAAGCACACTGCCCGCGCATTGCGCAGGCTATGCATCAAGGCGAGGCGGTGAGGGCACAAGAAGAATGGGGGGAGAGGTTCTCATCAAACGTCTCGCCCTCGGATCGGACCTCAGGATCGCTACGACGAGAAGACAAATGTAAGACTGCTCTAGGGGGCGGCCTCCGCGGCGCGCGACCGCGCAAGCAACGAAGCCCGAAAGCAGCAATTCGGCGTCTTCGTTGTTCAAGGATCCTGATCTGTCTCTCTCTCTGTCTCTGCTCTTTTCTCTCTCTGCTATGTCTCTCTCGTGTGTCTCTCTCTTTGTCTCTCTTCAACTCCGTCTCTCTCTACTCTCTCTTCTCTCACTCTCTCTCTATTCTCTAACTTATCTCTTCTCTGCTCTCTTCTCTCTGTCTCTCTCTCTCTCTCCTCTATCTCTCCTCGACTCTCTCTCTATCTGCTGAGCTCTATCTCTTTCTCTCTTTCTCTCTCGGTGCTGCTCCTGTCATCTGCGGTCCTCCTGCAATCGTCTCGCGTCTCTCGTCGTCTCTCTCTCTCACTATGTCAGCGGCGGCTGTGTGGGCAGCGGCCTGCTCAGCGTCTCTCGTCTCTCTAAATCTCTAATCTTGCTCTCTCTCTCGGCTCTCCCCCCTCCTCTCTCTGGCTCGCGTCTCTCTCGTCGCTCTCTCTCTCTCCTCTCTCGTCTCCAGCCCACCACTCTCTCTCTCTCTCGGCTCATCGAGCTCTCGTCTCGTCTCTTTCTCATCCTCCCTCACACACACAACACACACGATTCCAGTTAGAGTAAATCGGAAACGACGTGGGTCGTGTGAGTACTTATGAGGGGGATCTGGCATGTTGCTGGGTGAAGGCTTGGCGGTGTATGGCGCGTGCGTAAGTCGTGCGATGCGTGTGCCGTAACCGCGGCGATGCGTCGCGTAAGTCATGCGGAGCGCGCGTGGCCGTAAGCCGCGGGGCGATGCGTGCGTAGTCCGTGGCGCGACGCGCGTCGTAACCGCGGCGATGCGTGCGTAAGTCGTGCGACGCGCGTCGTAACCGCGGCGATGCGTGCGTAAGTCGTGCGACGCGCGTCGTAACCGCGGCGATGCGTGCGTAAGTCGTGCGACGCGCGTCGTAACCGCGGCGATGCGTGCGTAAGTCGTGTGCCGCGCGTCGTAACCGCGGCGATGCGTGCGTAAGTCGTGCGCTGCATGTCGTAACCGTGGCGATGCGTAATAACGGGCCGGCGGCGTTCAGCGCGAGACGTACAGCCGGCTGATTGATCGCTCGCACAGGTGGCGGGAATTCCCCACGCTAGAATATCTTTCTCTCCTCCCTCTGCCACTCCCTCTGTCTGTCTGTCTCTCTCTCTCTGTCTCTCTCTCCCTTTCCCTCTCCCTCTCGCTCTCTCTCTCCCTCCTCTCCCCCTCCCTCTCTCTTTCCCTCTCACTCTCGCCTTCTTTTTCGCCCCCTCCCTCTCTTCTTCCTCCTTCTCCCTTTGCCTTTCTGTTTCTATGTCTCTCACTACCACCTCCTCTTTCTCCCCTTTCCCCTTCTCTCCCTCTCCATCTCTCTCTGTCTCTCTCTCCTTTCTCTCTCTCTCTCCTTTCCCTCTCTCTCTCGTGCTAATAGCTTCACCTCTACTTCTAGGTGGCCACGTATAGTCACAAGGTGCACAAGATCTCGTTTATAGCGAGGGACGCGTCAGACCCGCGTGCTTTCGGCTACATTGTCGGCATCGGCGATGGCCAGCACAAGTTCTTTGCCATTAAGACAGACAAGGCGGTAAGTGACGTCCCACACACGAGCGCGTTGTCGTGTTGTCTCAGTTGAACTTGGGGGGTTTTACGATCAGGCGCGCAATTTAATGTAATAGTTTGTGTTCGCTAGACCCCGTGTAATTTCTAGAACCTATTCTGTATCTAGTTAAAGAACTAACTGTTTCAAAATTCTATTCTCTATTCTGCTATTCTCTATCTAGTTGCTTTTTAAAGGGCGAATTGTTTCGAGTGCAGTGTTAGATTTCGTTAGACATCACATAATTTCTAGAACTAATTATACGTAGCTAATTACGTTTTAATTAGTGCCGGAAGCAGGATGTTTAATGAGATCTCGCGTCCTTGCATAGGTTGCGTCTGTAGATAGCTAGTAGCCGGTCTTGGCTTGTATTGGTTTTTGAGAGAAGTTTGCTGTCTTGTGTCATTATAAGTAACAACATCAGGATAAATTTCCGTACTGCTCATGCCCTGTAAATCCCCCTTGTAATGACGGTTCAGAGATTTCTATTGCTCGCATGTTGCCGCTGTTTTAATATGTACTACCCTTTCAGAGAAACCCAGTGTCTCGGTTGATTCTCGGTAACGTTGGGGGTTAAATTTCCACACCAATCTCGCCCAATTTTTAGCTCATCTGACGAAGTCAGATGCAGCTTGTAGAATTGCACGATCGTCCGTCCGTCCGTGCGTCCGGCCATCCGTCCGTGCGACAACAGTTGGGCACAAATCTTAACCGCTCGACGTACGGTCACGATATTCGGGACGTCGGGGGGGGGGATCGTCAAAACGAGTTGGGATGTCCAAGGTCAAAGGTCAAGAGGTGTAAAAGAAGGGGGAACATTC